ACCTTGTAAAGGTAGAAGCCACTAGCTCACGACACTAAAACACTTCCAAACAAGCACTTAAAGAAAAATTGTTGCCATGATCAAAACTCAAAAGTTATATATTTACTCCAAGAATAGCTATAAAGATAACATGAAAATTAGTTTAGCTCCTGATTATCTGAATATGTGCCATGAGGAAATTTATGAAGCCTACCAACTAGTGGTGCAACTTGGGCGAATTTGAGCCCGAACCGGCCCAACATAAAATTTTACATGAGTTAGGCTTAGATTTTTGGTCCTTGGACTAGGCTCAAGCCTAAGAAATCGGACATTTCTAATTTTCAGGCCAGACCCGGGCCTAACCCTTAGATAGTCTGAACCCAGCCCGAGCCCGACTCAACTATACACACACACACACACACACATATATATATAACTTTAGAGTAGGTTCATTGACCAACTCAAGCCTGGCCTGTGCTCGAGTCTAACCCGAGTTCATCAAATTACAGTACGGGCTGGGCTTGGATTGGAAAAATCAGACTTGACCTCGGGCTCAAGTCTTAAACCCAAATTTTAGGACTGGGCCAGGGTTGACAATAAACCTGGCCCAACCCGCCCAACTTTCACCCCTACCACCAACTAGCAACTTTGTGGCCCCATACTCGGTCACACCTTAAAAACATAGACTAAAACAAATGAGAAAGCTAATAAAGTCTCATACGCATCATGCTTCACCAAATAAAAACATGAGTTTAATATATTGGTTGAGAAAGAAATTATCGAATGGAGTATATAGAGAGATCTGGAATTCCTTTAGGATTGTTCTTTAATGGGCCCATTTTCTGTCTTTTATATTCCCTTGAGCTGTATTTTATCAAGAGGGATCAACAAAGAACAACAACCCAAGTGGTTTATATATTCTTATTCTTTGTTTTCTTATTTATGGTGCTGGTATTTCTGTTTAGGCTATTTGAAAAAAAGGCTTTGCACATGTGGAAAAGGAAGAGAATAAGAAAGAGCATTTACAAGGGGTGCCCTAAAGTAAATAAGCTGAGTCAAAATGCACAAGTATAGACTTCAAAGTTGATTGACATGGGATCACTTGTCAACAAAACACGATCCAATACCCTTCCAAACCATGGGATTGGGATCCATCATAAAAGTATAATTTTTGGGTATGAGATGTATGGTGTGAGATATGTTAGGAGAGTGTTAGAATGTATTTTGTTGGCAAATGATTTTGGATTTGATTGAGACTCCATTTAACATAATTTATGTTGGCTCAAAAAATTTCTCCATCTTAGAGTGCTAGGCTATCCTTCTAACGAATCAGGAATTGGTCATAAAAAATCCACCTATTGATTATATGGTCGGGTTCTTTTTCTTTTCCTAAACCAACTTGGGATTTTAATAGCAGGCATTTGGTAAGCCTCTGTTATTGCATTTGGTAATGCTGAATCAAAGTGAATTTGCACTCTGATTCAACTTTGTAGGCATTTGGTGAGAATATGTTTTCCTTTAATTGTATTGAAAATGATAACAAATTTGTTTTTTATGATATGTTTGCATTCAAAATGGGAACTAAGTTTGCTTACAATGTCAAAGTTGGTCATTTTAAAGAAGAATTAAAGGTAGATTTCAGTTTTAGATTTGTATTTGTACCCAGCACAACCAAAGACATTTTATAATAATGCAAAATTTATCAATACAAAACCAAACAAACCAAAGGCCCATTTTGTTCATTGGAATAGGTGCCTAGAATTGGAATTGGAATGGCCGTTCTAATTCCAACTGTTTGTTTGGAATCTCATTCTGCCAAGAATGGAAATTAGAATTCTATTCCAAGCTCCCCTTATGGGAATGGGATTCCCATTCTAGAGTTTGTAAAAAAGTAAAGAACTCATGACAAAAAAAAAAACCCAAACCCTAATATTAATAAGATATTAATAAATTAATAATAAATACTAAGATATTAGCTATTAAATACTAAAAAATAATACTAACAAAGTACTAATAAAATAATAAATAGATTGATACAAAATTGAAAATTTCGTCTATTGAATAAATATGTTAAAATCACGACTACTTGGTTTTTTGTCTCTCATCATCATATTAGATATTCGTGCATTGCATGGGGACCTGCTAGTATAATATAAAATACTATACATAAAATTTATTTTGTTACTTATGCCCAAAACTCAACTCAGCCCAAGCTTGGCCCTTGATTAGCCTATTAAAAATAGGCTAGTGCAATATTACCATGAGATAGTTGCAAGCTTGTAAAAAAAAACTCTTTTAATAACACATTAATAATAAATTAAATAAAAAGGAATTTGGATCTTTGCCCTGCTTGTTAGGGATGTACACAGTTCGGTTAGCTATTTTTTGAAACCAGATTGGTACCATCAATTTTTGAAAAACCGTGAACCAAAACCAAACTGAAATCAATCAGTTAACCAGTTGATAGGTTTGACAAATTTGGTTCTTCGGTTTCTCGGTTTTTTATATTTTCAATATATATTATAAAAATTATGTATAAATATATAATATAAATACTATAAATATATACAATATATTATATTATAAATATTGTAAGTATATATAATATATATTTATATTTATATATAATATAAATTAAAAATATATAACATATATAAATATATATATATATTAGTTGGTTCCATTAACCAACGGTTATTCTCTTAGGTTAACCAAAAACCGAACCAAGACCATTGGCTTTTGCAAAACAATGAATTGAAATCGAATCGATCAGTTTGACAAACCGATTTTTTTTGTTTGGTTTCCTCAGTTCAGTTCAGTTTTTGTTGAGGACCACCTGTTGCTTGTTTGTGGTACAAATTTGAATTGGATTCAAATTTTGCATCGAGTTCAATTTGGCATCTGTTTGTTTGTAACTATGATTTACACCATAGTATTACCTGATACAAAACTTTTTACTTTTTATCTCATTTGCACTCATTGGCAGTTTTGTAGCTGAAAAATTGATGCAAACTTTTCACCACCTTCCTCCTACAATTCTCTCTCATATAAAGTTGGGACCACATCATCTTTCTTCATACCTCAATCCCAAATAAATAAATTTCCATTCTCTTTCATATAAAATCGGCAAAAGTCAAGCAAACCAATGCAATGCGTGAACTAATAGAAATTAGATTTTGGTTGGCAAATTTAAGTTTTTGGTGACAAGTTGGATTGAGGGTAAGGTATTGGTTTGGCCCTTAGCCTGATCCAATCCATCTAATTGTTGTTGTTGTTGTGTGTGTGTATGTGTGAAAGAGAGAAAGAGAGAGAATTTTAAGAACGATCTTATTGATGAGAGTAAGAGTTTTTTATTTTGATTTTTTATATTTTTTAATCATTTTGTCTAAAAGTAAATAATCACATGTATGGAAAATAAGTGGAGAAGGAGGTCCATGTGAGATTTGTGATGAGAGTTGAAAGGACCTTGGACGGATGGACCCTTCACCTCCCTTCTTTCCTCTTTCTAACCTATATGAACTCCTATGCATTTACATTTTACACCAGTGCACGAAAAAGATAAAAAAAAAAAAAAAAACTGAGCAAACCATCAAATTAAAACAGCCACCAGCCACCACCCATTTATTTATTTTTAATTTTTTTTTAGGTACCATCCATTTTGTTAGGCCTAGAATCCAAACTCTTAATCTTAGGGATGCAAGTTGGGTGGGTTAAGGTTGGAATTTTGACAGAATATGAATGGGCCTGACCCTAAGCCCGAGCATGGAACAGTGTAAGATGTTAACTTGGGCTAACTCGAGTTGCACCCCTACTCAATCCGGAGTTTGGCCATAGTGGTCCAGCCCACTTGGTGTGGGTCCAATAATACAACATGAAAAAAAAATGATATTAATGAAACTAAATCGTGGGCAAAGTTGCTACTTGATGTAGATAATATATTTTTTTATAAAAATAAATAAATTATTAATTAATTCCTCATTATTATTTATTTATTATACCGTCCAATTAAAGAGAAATAGTAGGCTCTTCAAGTATACCTTGTATTACCAAAAAGAAAACTAGGACATTATCTTCCTCAGTGTGTGCGTGCGTGCAAAAATCCATCAATGGCCACTGGAAGGAAAAAATTGGTGCCCATATATTGGTCCACATTGGGAGGCCCATCTTAATGGGCCTTTCGTAAGTTTCAAGCCCAATGGTAGCATATGTAACCCTGCCCTACCTTGATGGCCTTGTTATTTGGCAAACGGGCCCTAATCAAAGAAGTCGTTTGGGAGGGCTTCAGCTTTAATTGAACTATTTAACTAATTTGCAAAGTCAGCCTTCAGAAAAGTAATGCTTAACCACGGTTTTCGAACTGTTATGGAACTGGACGGTCAGACCATTCATTCCGAAAATTGTCTAGACAATCGATTCCATTTTACTCCAAACCTAGTCTCTGGCCAAAAACCACTGAATCAATCATTGATTCATTAACCTGGGCGGCCAAACTGTTGACCCATTCAATGATTTTAGTTGTATTTTTTATTTTTAATTTTTTTAGAATAAACCATCTATTTGAATCGAACGGTCAAACCACCAACCTAAAAACCGGTGACTAGAGCGATTCCTGCTCCGAGTCGTATTTTAAATTATTGCGCCTAACCATAGCCAATGAGCTGGTGGGCCTTTCAAACCGGCACTTACTAGTCCAAATCCAACAGTCTAGAATTACGAAATATATTGAAAGTCAAGGGATATACGATAGTTTGCAGCCAAACCGTGGGCCTAGATCCCCAACCAAGAGTTCAACATCTAACTATAGCCAATAAGTCATTGAGCTCATGGGCCTGACAGGATGACTGGAGCTAAATCGTGGGCCTAGATCCACCACTAGTAACGAATACGATCATTTTCTAAAGTTCTAGAGATTTGAAGTCTCCGGAGTCCAGTGGGTCCCTTCCCCAACATCCATTCTCGAAACTCCTTACATTTACAGAGGCGCTCCTCAGTCGACTCTTGTTCTAGTCTTTTCCATAAAATTCTTGAACATTCAACATTAACGGCACAATCTCCATGACAGGCTTATAAATTCCTCGCAATCTTTCTATCAAATTCAGACCGAAATCAAGAACTCCAAAGCACAAGCGCTCTGTAAATTTTCGTAGTTTGCTTCTGAATCCCTCTGTTTGTCTGTTGATCCTTAGTAGAGACAAGCAATTCATCTAGCGCATTTCCATTTCAAGGCTATAAGTTTCGACGATGGTGGCTAAAACTGAAGGCAAGGCGATTGGTATTGATTTGGGTACCACCTACAGCTGCGTCGGAGTGTGGCAGAATGACAGGGTCGAGATCATCGCCAATGATCAGGGTAATAGGACTACGCCTTCGTATGTCGCATTCACCGATACCGAGAGGTTAATTGGTGATGCTGCCAAGAACCAAGTTGCCATGAACCCCTCCAACACAGTGTTTGATGCCAAGCGACTCATTGGTCGGAGGGTTTCTGATCCGTCTGTACAGAGTGACATGAAGCTCTGGCCCTTCAAGGTTATTCCTGGCCCCGGTGATAAGCCCATGATCGTTGTTCAATTCAAGGGCAAAGAGAAACATTTCTCCGCTGAGGAGATTTCGTCCATGGTCTTGATCAAGATGAGGGAGATTGCCGAGGCGTATCTGGGTCAGACAGTCAAGAACGCTGTCATCACTGTGCCGGCCTATTTCAATGATTCGCAGAGGCAGGCGACGAAGGATGCCGGAGCCATATCTGGGCTTAACGTGATGAGGATTATCAATGAGCCCACGGCAGCTGCTATTGCTTATGGTTTGGATAAGAAGGCTTCGAGGTCTGGTGAAAAGAACGTTCTCATCTTTGATTTGGGTGGTGGAACCTTCGACGTTTCCCTGCTGACCATCGAGGAAGGAATTTTCGAGGTGAAGGCCACTGCCGGAGATACCCATCTCGGGGGTGAGGACTTCGACAACCGTCTTGTCAACCACTTCGTTGCTGAGTTCAAGAGAAAGCACAAGAAAGACATCAGCAGCAATGCGAGGGCTCTGCGGCGGTTGAGGACGGCCTGTGAGAGGGCAAAGCGGACTCTGTCTTCCACCACACAGACAACCATAGAAATCGATTCTCTGTACGAGGGTATCGACTTCTATGCAACGATCACTCGAGCCCGGTTTGAAGAATTGAACATGGACCTGTTCAGGAAGTGCATGGAACCGGTGGAGAAGTGCCTCCGGGACTCTAAGATTGACAAGAGTCAGGTCGATGACATCGTCCTTGTTGGTGGGTCAACCAGGATTCCTAAGGTGCAGCAGCTTTTACAAGATTTCTTCAATGGGAAAGAGCTCTGCAAGAGTATCAACCCAGATGAGGCCGTGGCATATGGAGCTGCCGTCCAGGCTGCAATTCTTAGCGGAGAAGGCGACCAGAAGGTCCAAGACCTGCTGCTGCTCGATGTCACTCCTCTCAGCCTCGGTATCGAGACTGCCGGAGGTGTGATGACCGTTTTGATTCCCAGAAACACAACCATTCCAACGAAGAAGGAGCAGATATTCTCGACCTATGCCGACAATCAGCCCGGAGTCCTAATTCAGGTCTACGAAGGTGAGCGCCCAATGACCAAGGACAACAACCTCCTCGGCAAATTCGAGCTGAAAGGAATCCCCCCGGCTCCAAGAGGCGTTCCACAGATTAATGTGTGCTTCGACATTGACGCCAATGGAATTCTAAACGTCTCGGCTGAGGACAAGACTGCTGGAGTGAAGAACAAGATCACAATCACCAACGACAAGGGGAGGTTGAGCAAAGAGGAGATAGACAAGATGGTGAAGGATGCCGAGCGCTACAAGGCAGAGGACGAGCAAGTGAAGAAGAAGGTGGAGGCAAAGAATTCATTTGAGAATTATGCGTATAGCATGAGGAATACGATCAGGGATGAGAAGTTTGCTGGGAAATTGAACCCCGCAGATAAGCAGAAGATGGAGAAGGCAATTGATGAGACGATGGACTGGCTTGACAAGAATCAGTTGGCGGAGGTGGATGAGTTGGAGTACAAACAGAAGGAGTTGGAGGGTTTGTGCAATCCGATCGTAGCGAAGATGTACCAGGGGAGTGGCGGTGACATGCCTGGAGGTATGGGTGGTGGTGCCAACATGCCGGGTGGAGGGTATGGCTATGGCCAAAGCAACGGTGGGACTGGTACAGGAGCTGGGCCTAAAATCGAGGAGGTTGATTGAATGCAGTTGAGTTACTTAGGTCTTGGATTTTGTTGAGATGATTAGTTGTTTTTCGTTTTGTCTTCTGGGTTGGACTTTCTTTTTGTATATTTGAGATATATTTCTGTAATTCTGTTGAGTGTAGAGGCACCCAGAGTCAAAGTAGGCTTGTGGAGTTGTGGGTTGGATGCAGTGAGCTTTGCTCTGGCCTATCATTTGAAATATCAAATATGTAATGCACATAATAAAGGGAAGGATTTAGTTTCTTTTTCAAATAGTTCTGTGAGCATTTTTTTTGTCAATTGTCTAGCTAGAGTTGTATTGTAGGGCTCTGTTTGGAGCTTGGTGTGGAATTATCTGAGGTGACTGGCAATAAACCATGCAATGTCAAGAACAGGGCCTGTGGAATTCATGGAAGAAAGTATTCGTGGAAAATAGATCTATCTATTCATGTCAGTCTATTTAACTTCAGTGTGATTATGAGGCACAATCTCATGTAGTACAAAAAAATTCTGCCACTGAACTTAAATAGGTTTATGTCTTCAGATGATGCCCATTTTGATATGTATCTCTTCAAACCGTATGCAATCCTTTTGATGAGGAGACCAAACCACCAAACTATGGATGATTACAATGGTCAACATTAACAAAGAAGGTCTCCTAAGATGGATAAGTCATTGGCCCATCTTTATTAAGCTCAGTTTGTTTGCGCTGTGAATTTTATTTGCACTGGTGTAAATATATAGAAATACAAATAGACTGTAAATTCTGATTTACTTTCTTTTATATTTGACATGGCCTTGTTTGTTTGTGAGAAAAACGGAATAGTCCCTAAGGCTGATGCAAAAGTTGCACTACCAGTGAGTACAAATGAGACAAAAGTATAAATTTTGCATTAGGCAGTAATGCATATCATGATTACTAACAAATAGATATAAAATTCAACAGGTGCAAATTTGTATCTGATTCAGATTTGCATTGCAAACAAACAGAGCCTTTACTGACCTTAAGTTAGTTACTGTTAGACCCAACAGTAAGGTGTAATTACCCTTAATAATGAAAGCAGAACCATACAACATATCTCTTGATTGAATAAGAAAAGATCATCGTTCAGAAGTCATTGGTGATCAAAAGAGAGAGGAGACTATAAATCGAGTCTGCGTTCTGTGCACCCATGAATGTGATTCAAACACTTCGACCAGGGGAAGCAAGCATAACGCTAACGGTCAAAAGGCGGGGCTACAACTTCAGATTCTGAGGTGGATTGCAGTCCACTTATCCCAGAAATCTATGATAGTTTGGGCATGTGCAGAGAAGAAAATCCATGGAACAGTGTCCACGGGGGGTTAAAAGTGATCCATTACAGGTTGAAAGGGTTGGAGCTTGGAAGAGTTAGGGTAGGGACAAGCCAAAAAGGATATGGGTTAAAACAGTGAGAATTGATTCTATGGTACACCATTATTATTTAACAAAGCTGAACAGGACGGAATGTCATCCATGTAACCTAAGCTTAGGTGATGATGATGATGATGATCTAGAAGCTATAGAAGATTTCCAAATTCCAACCCAACTCATCAGGTATATAGGGTGATAAACATGCAGCAAAATATATACATAAAAATCCTTGAGATTACAGTGCACACAACATAACCATTGAGGCTGCAGCAGAAAATTCTGAATGTAGAAAGTGGTATTTAGTTCGAGAACAAATTGAATTGATAAAAGCCTTCTCAGTAATTTCCATAAATTAACATCTTTAAGCATACAAGTTGGACTGCTGAAAACAAATTGAATTGCAGTTTGTCTTCCATTAGAACCAACAAGGTCCTTTTACACTGCTGAAATCATTTGGACTTCTTTCCTTGCTTCTTCTTTATAACTTCATCAATGTACATTATACCTTTTCCTTTGTAAACTTCAGGAGGTTTACAACTGCGAACAGCAGCAGCAAACTGGTGAACTCTTTGCTTGTCTATTCCTGTGCAGCATACGATGTTTGGTTTAAAGCAGAATACACGTACAGCTGGTGGAACAGTGAGTTCAACCTCATGGCTGTAACCCAATTTCAGATACAAGAGGCGACCTTCAGATTCGGCTCTGGCTTTGAACCCAACCCCCACAATTTTAAGAAAGCGAAAAAATTTGGCTTCCATTATAAGCAAAAACCTATAAACCAGGCAAATAAGAAAAGTAAATATATTTTTAAAGAATGTAAATTAGAAGGATGATATCATGTAATCTTCTAATGAGACTAATCCCCAAGAAGAAAGAAAGAAAGAAAGAAAGAAAGAAAGACCTTGTGTTCAATTGCTTTAAATGTTTGAGGCCCACTATGTTTTGGATAATAAGTGATTCTCCGTTTTCAAAAAACAAATACAAATATAAACATGTAGAATTTATAACACAAAATAACACATTAAGATAGTTCATTTTCTGACATCATATCTCTCTTTATGCCTTTGAATTCTGCAGTGGATTAAAAATCTTTGCACTTCTAATTGAGACATTATCATGGACCACAAAATAGCATATTAGGATAAATTTCTCTTTCTAACAACTAATCTACCCTTTTTTCAATCTTATCCTGCAACAGGCTAGAAAATATTCACACTTTCCATAAGGTATAGAAACCAACATTCCACCTCCTTCAAACAACCAGAACAATATTCCCAGTTCTCTTGAGTCTTGATCTTATTAAGAGATAAATGTCACAGGGTTGAGTTATTTGAAGAGGGATAGTAACCACCCTTCAAATGCATATGTAATTTTTTTCTTTATATTCCCCAGCTTCACTAACAAAAGACTTTACAGTATGCCCCTTTACTTCAGCATGGTCATTATAAAATGGTTTTAAGACATTCAATTTTTCCTCAATGTGGAAGCAACTGGATGAAACACCCCAAATCCCCTAGTAAAAGACCATTTATGCAGAAGTATCTACTTAGTTTTATCTAAAACTATCAGAAAACCACTCATTTTTGTACATTTCTAATATTTAAACTTTTTCATTACCTACTAACTTCAGGGTGTTGATGGAGTACATCATTCTCAAACTATGTTTTATACTTCTATCTTAATGAGAAACAGAGGAGTAATAGAACACAATACACTATTTAATCACTCAGGTTTTTGGGGTTTCAGTAATACAACCTACAGGAATACAAAGTTTGGGAAGGGAGTCCTTACTTTCGTGTGATATAATAATACAATATTTACCTATTAGCTTAACGAATGAAAAGCAGAGGAAAACTAGGGGCTTGAGGCATTTGTGATGACTTTTGAGTATCTATTTTAGGTCGAACATGAGCAGAACTTCTGTATTTTCAACTTCCACCGAAAGAACTAGGTTTGATGTTTCCATCCAATATCAGTTAAGTTACCATTGCTGGCGTTATGGATGATACGAACTAGAAAACATCTTTCTATAAAGAAGAAAAAAATAAATATGAACATATCACAAATTTACAGTTCACAAGGCAAATACTATTGAGGAAATGTTAAAAAATTCACAGTTCACAAGCCAATTGATTTAACCTTTAACAAGTCCCTTAACAGAATTCATCAATTACTCGATTTGCAATCTAAAAACATGCTTGTTAACAAATCAATTATTCATACCAAAGAAAATTTGTTGATTTGTAACAGAAATTGTATTATGAAGAGGAAAAAACCGGTTCCAAGTTCTAACATTCTGTAACCTTTATTCAAATAGTTCACGGGAGAAAAAGTTAAAAGAAAAATAGTAGAACAGAGATAGGTAGAGGGGATCAGAATAACAGGTATGAGAGATTAAAACTTTGAGAGAGAGAAAGAGAAAAGAAGACTCCATGCCAATCACCCAGGAGAGAGAAAATCTATGTAACTGAAGACTAAATGAAGAAGAAGAAATACATACGTGAAAGTTTGAAACTTCAGATACGTTCTTTGAAGTTTGATCCTACCCACTGCGATTTTTCTCTTGCAGATTAGACTTTCTTAGGTTTTGCCCTTGGGCGGCAGTGCGGCACACCGTTGCAGAGTTCTGTCTACTACATACCATTTATCGAAAGAAGCCGGAAAATCTCGCTCCACCAGGGTTTCCGGTTGAACCGTATGAAACCGGGCATGTCGACGACCCATCGAACCGCTTTAGCCACTTCTTGATTCTTCTTTCACCGGACGTATCGGTATCGGCCCATCTCGTGGCTTCCTATGCCGTACATGCAGCTTCGTCTCCAATAAACGAGCTTTGCGTCTTTTTTTTTTTGCAGCTTTGTCTCCATAGGTAATTCAGTTCGATTCACACCATGGTTTTTGAACCGTCGTTGATCCGAACTGTCGGACCGTTTGGCCCAGAAATCATTCAGTCAATTGGTTCTGTTTTATTTTAAATCTGGTTTCTAGCAAAAAATTATTGAATTAGTCAACGATTCATTGACCTAAGCAGTTGATCCGTTCAACGATTTTTAACCGTTTTTTTTGTCAAAATAGGCCATTCGTTCAAATTGAACGATTGAACCATTAACCTAAAAACCGACGGTCAGAATGATTCTATTTCCGAGTTATTTTTTAAAACCATGATTTACACATCATTCAGGTGCTGAACAGGCAAGGCAAATATTTTTGTATGTAGCAAAGTATTGGGTTTTTAAATCTATAAAACAGTTGGAAGGCTATTTAATTGTATAGGTAATGAGTATTGTAGAATTGGGTCCATGCTGAGATAGATTAATGGAAAAATTATAAAATATAGGATAAAAAATGAAATCATTCATAGGAACTTCGGAGTAACTCCAACAGTGAATAAAATGAAATAAAATATATTAAGATGGTTTGGTCATGTATAAAAGACTATCAACAATACTTATAAAAAAAAATAATTTCTTACAAGTTGAAGGGACTACAATGGCAAAGGATAACCCAAAAGGTGCATGGGTAGATGTCTAAGAAAAAGATTTAAGTGTCAATAATTTAACAACAGATATGACATTTAATAGAATGTCTTAGAAAAAAAGACATGCGGACATAGGATTCATGAAGCCAACCTTAAGATAAAACTTGGATAATGATGATGACGATATAATATATGCATAAACTTTATTTTATAATACATTATATAATATAAAATGTTATAAATATATCTATTAAAGTGCAAATTACTTAAACTTGCATTGTGTTTTATGAAAATTATTTTAACCACCCCTACCTCTCAAAATTTCTCCCTCAGCATTTTACATATAAAAAATTACTAATATACCCTTCCATTAATTTGGCACAAAGAACTTAACACAAACATTATAATAAAATGCTTTTGAACACTTCGAAATTCCTATTTTGCTCATGGATGATAATATTGGAATTGCCTTTTCTATTTAAGAATAAAAGGGGAATTTAGTAATAGCAAAAGGGGGAGGGGGCATGAGACCTTACCCTTGAAGTAAGCACGGGGCACTAAAGCTCAAAAAAAAAAAAAAAAACACTTTAGTCTAGATGACCTGCGAACAACTTCTGATTGAGTCATTTCACGGACCTAGAGATTGCAATTTGACCCATTCCCGTGGGGCCCTGCCTTGGTCGTGGCAGTTTTTTGGACCACTGTTCAAGGTTTGGGGAAAACCCAAAACTCTAGGGGTCAGGAATGGAATGGGAACGGTATTTGTCTACCTCGCCCAAACTATATTATATAACATAATACATATAAAATTGTTAATATATGCTAATGTATATTATATCATATTATATTATATTATTATATATTATATTATATAATATAAAATAGTTCTAGGTAGGTTTTGGTATTAAAATTTATGTAGTAATAAGAATATTAATAATAATTGAAATATATTTATTTATTATTAGTTAATAATAAATAAATAATAATACTTAGGGTAAATTATAAAGATCCCGTGTACTATGGGGTTTGTGACAAAACCCCCCCTATATTTTGTTTTGCAACAAACACCTCCTTGTACTATGACCGTGAGACAAAGACCCCCTTCCGTTAGCCTTCCATCCAAAAAAATCGTTACAATATTTTTTAATCCTTATATTACCCTCAAAGAGAAAAACATTGTTCATCTTCCCCGACCTCACCATACACTAACAGTAATGGCACTAATCTCATTTACCTCAGATTTCTTCAAATTTCTCTCTCCCTCTCTCTTTTCTCTCTCTCCCTCTCCCCCTATCTCTCTTCTTACCCTTCCCAATGAGAGGTGATACAAAGCTAACGCACATCTGGTGTTTTTCTCGTCAAGCGCCAGGCTGACATCACCGTAGACGAAAAACGGTGACACCGACTGGTGTTTTCCTCGTAGCCGACATCCTCGAACCACCATACACAGATCTGGTGTTTTTCTCGTCCATAGCCGATGACACCGACTTCATCGTAGCCGACATCCACTGACTCTTGACTTCACATTCGAAGAACCACCATCTACATTAATTTTCAGAAAATTTCCAGGTGGGGGTGTCTATCGACACAATGGGCCAGGAGTGCTAATGGAACTCTTAACAACTGGCTAGTGGTGGGAACAAATCTGATGGGTTTAAGGTCCACACAAGTCGATCCCTAACTCCAACAATCTGAGACTACAATGGAATCATGGATATAATGGTCACGGTGTGAGGGACAAAGAGGAGGTTTAGTTCATCAGTTTTCCAACTACCTGATGAGGGAGTCCACCGTGGTTTGAGAGTCTAAATCCGCCACTTGTTGAAGTTCTACGGGATGAGGTAGCCAAGGTTCATGGAGGATTCTCACCTCATTCCCATCCCCAATTAAATAACGATCTCTTAAGCGAAGCAAATCTTTGCAACCGGCCACGTTGATCCAAATCTTTGCAATGGAGGATAGAAGAGATTCTTAGGGTTGTTAGTGAGAACATAGAAATAGATCTGGAGGTTCCGCCAGAATTGGAGCCAAAATTCCGAGTGGTTCTTGCTGAGTTCGTTGTGTCAGACAAATTGCTGTTCTGTCGGGAATTCCGAGTGGTTCTTGTAGTCATTCATGCCACTGCACTCTGGATTTTTATCCTCCAGATCTGTTAGTGTATCATGAACAGTGCACTCTGGATTTCAATCGGGGAGATGGACGGTGTTTTTCTCGTTGGAAGGTAATATGGAGATTAAAAAAATATTGTAACAGTTTATTTGAACGAAAGACTAATGGTAGGGGGGTTTTGTCTCACTGTCATAGTACAAGTGAAGTGTTTGTTATAAAACAAAGTATAAGGGGGGGCCTTTGTCACAGACCCCATAGTATAGGGGGTCTTTGTAATTTACTCTAATACTTATTTATTTTAACAAATCGTAATATATTTTTGTTAATAGAATACTATTTTATTTAATATTCATTTTATTATTTATAATACTATCAAATAGTCTATTTTTAAAGATAAAATGATAAATTTTACAATTTCATATGCTAGATAATTGCTCGAACTCAAATGATCTTATCTTTTTTAGAGCATTTAAAAAATAGAAAATAAGTTCTTTTTAGATTTTAGACCTGAATTATAGCTTTTTGCCTTTTCAAACAACAAACTTCAGCCACCTCATTCTCTTATGTAGGATTTTGAAGTGTTTGCAAGTGAAACCTATACTTCTTACCATTTACCAATATAAGTTTTTAATTTTTTAGTTTTTGGGTAAATAATATAAGTTCTTTATTTATTATTAAAAATATTTTATCCACCAAAAGCAAAGTAAGAAGTTGTTTACTTCATCCATCGGAACTGTTACCAAATGGAATCTATTCGAGATGTCCACTGTTTGGGGCTGCATGGGGTGTAGGTAGAAAAAGTACTTTTAATTTTACTTGTAACCGTAGAATAGAATCGACCACAGTGGGAGTCGAACCCACGACCTTTTGATCCGAAGTCAAACGCGCTAATCCACTGCGCTATGCGGTCATGTTGATGTTTCATCTTCGAATTTTGGAAACTATTCTTTTGTTTTGGTAAGTCTTGTCATTTTTCGTTTTTATGACGCTGTTTGGTTGCAGTGCAAATTTATTTTCACCAATACAAATGTACGAGTATGTAAATGTAAAAAATGCAAATTCTTATTTAATTTTGTTTTGGACTATACTTTATTCTTATTTATGTCTTAATTACTTCATTTGTACTGCAATCAAATGAAATAAGCTAAAATTTAAAACAAAAAATAGGTTAAAATTTATATTCAAATCATTTGCAACTGCCATGGTTTGGCTCCAGTATAAATTTATTTGCATTACAACCAAACACAAATTGTTTTGGATTATTTACCTCCTTCACTAAATGATGATAATCGCAAATTTGCAGAAGATACAGTCTTACGCTATATTGGTGATGACAAGGGCTTTAAACCGAGTCTTAACAGTACTGTCATCTCACATAACCTGTAACCTATCTTGATAGTTTTGGCTAACGTTTTGAAATATAAAGGGAAAATTTAATTTCGTAAATTACCTTGACAAACTATATCCTTATCAACTATTGTCTTAAATCACTCCTATTGTTTTTGACAATTTTGACTAGCTCTACCCCTATTATTAGCATTCCGTCAAAATTTATATACATGTGACACCATATGACAAATAAAATGATTTAAAAACCTAATATTACCCCTCGCCCCTAGTTCCTCTTCTGTAAGTCAGGTAAGAATCACCGTCCATTATTGGAACCTTTTCATAGATAACAAGTTAACTGCCACCAGTTACCATCAGATCCAAATTTGTCGTTGCAACGGCGGTGATGATACAAGAAAAGGGAGAGAGAGAATGAGGGGGAGAGGAAAAATGGGATAGAGAGAGAGAGAGGGGGGGGGGGGATCGGAGGTGGAGGGGGTTATTGTTGTCGCTAGTTCACAGTCGGGGGTTATCGTTGCCACTCTTGTGCTGGGTAGTTCTAACATATCTACCTTCCTTTTGGTAAGATTGAACCCCACGATCCCCCCTTCCAAGAGGATCTCCCCAGGTTAAACATCCCCAATTTCTACTATACTTTGGAGGAAATTTTCTTGGAAGAGGTGTAGAAGTAGGAAGGGTTGATGTGATTGATCCAAATGTTT